AAAAAAAAAAAAAAAAACAAGGTAGAGGGGGATAATTTTAGAAATTAAAAAGTAATGAAGACAGGAAAATAGTTTACATAATAGTAGTTTACAGAAAAGAAAATCAAAGCAGGCCAGGTGTGGTGGCACACTCCTGTAATCCCAGCACTCAGGAGGCTGAGGCAGGAGGATCACTGTGAGTTCGAGACCAGCCTGGGCTACACAGTGAGTCTCAACTATATAGTGAGACCCTGTCTCAAAAAACCAATAAATAAATAAATAAATAAGAAAGAAAACCAAAGCAAGAGAGCAAAGTAAATATTGAAACTATAATTAAAGCTTTTTTAACTTATAAATAGGATATGAAACTATATGTAAAGGAGACAGTCATATTATCCACAGACTTTGACATATTTTAATCTAAGATGTTCAAGGAGTCAAGGATTTTGAATCTAGCTAAGCCAATTTTCAAGTACAAAAACACAGGGAAATTATCTGTAACAAGAATACAGGGAGTATTGTTCTCATTAGCAGTCTACCAAAGATGAGATCAGATAGCCAGAAGACTAGGACATAAGCATTGATGTTAAACTTGTAGTTAAACTTGTGGGTGCAACTATTCATTTGGCTCCAAAATCACATTAAATAAAGCTCATTTTAAGTTACAACACATGAATTCATTCATTAGAGTCCAGACTGGCAATTGCAGGACAAATGATCTTGTTTCTACAACAAATAAAGTAAAATAAAGGGGAAATGGAGGAGGAAGAGGGAATGAAAAATGAATGTAGAAGGGTATTTGCAAAACTTTTAAGAGCAAGGCTAGTATTCTTGAATGATACCTATTATCCCCAGGTATACTATTGAGTGATGATAGCTAGTATTCATGTGTCTACTCTTGAATGATAAACTATGAACTGTATAAAAAAGTAGTGATTACTATAAAAGTCATGATACTGTGTTACTATGAAGAGAGAGAAGAAATTATGGTTGGGAGAGATCCCCTTATTTGGACTTCTATGAAAAATCCTAGGGCCGGGGATTTAGCTCAGCGGTTCGGTGGCCTGCCTTGCAAATGCAAGGACCAGAGTTCAATCCCTGGTACCA